ATATATATATATATATATATATATGAAAGATGAGTTTATCTTGATGTGATGTAGACATTACACTTCTAAAGGATCTTTAGACCAGTTTGATCCAGCACTGTACCGTCCCATTTTTAGCTTGAACAGTTAAAGGGCCAGTGTGTAGCATTTCAGGGACTCTCATTAGCAGAATGGAATATAATATTCATAACCATGTTTTGACCTTTGTGTGTAAACACCTGAAACTACGAATTGTTGTGTTTTCGTTACCTTAGAATGAGCCCTTCGTATCTACACAGGGAGAGTCCACTGTGGTGCACTAACAGAACGAACAAACGACCCAACCAAACGCGCGTTTTTACGTTACCAGAAGGCCACCGTAGCTCTCCAACGTGCTTGAGAAACTGCGGTAACGTGATGAGTGCAGATACCGCAATACCTTCAGCCGTCTTCAGCAGCAGGAGGAACAGAGGAGGTTTTGAATGCCCTGCAGTGAAGTTATTTTTTTGTCTCGTACCTGAGTATCTTTGCTTGGATGTGCACACACTCACACCTCTTCGGAGGTTTAAAGAGTCTCATTATTTAAAATTCAAATGAATGCTTAACCTCAAGGTGTCACTCAGAGAGTACCAGAACATTCTGATGTAGCATTTCAAAATGAAAGCCCTTCAAATCACATTCATGAGACAATTTGTCTCATTTCAGATTAGATTTTAGAGGAAATGGTGCATAGTTACAAAATCATTTCACAACAGGTTAATAGCAGACCCTCTAATAAGTTAAAACAGCTATGGAGCTTTCCTAAATCCCAGCAGAGATTTAGTACAAGATAGCTTCATTGGCTTTAAAAGCTTGTAACTTAATTTTAATATTGTAATCGGCATCACTCTGTGCCGTTCTGTGCCAGTTCAGATATGCTCCTGATTCTCCACACTGAGACACTTCGTAAATGTCGTCAGTGAACTGCTTCCCCCTCAGGAAATCAAGAAATGTAATTGTATGAGTCAGATAGTGAGCTTCGGGGGCTGTACTTTTCTATTGCAGCATAATACCTCTTTAGACATGATAAGGCCAGGAATTCCTTCGGGGGAATAATTATCTCAAACTATGAATTAACGTGGCATCTGGAAGTGTCAGGCTCCGTCTGTCTCTGGAAGAAACTCAGCCTGCCACAGCGAAACATCAACAAAAAAAGAAGATCACATCGGAGCATCTTCCTACTGGCACTGTATGTCTCTGTCTGTGTGTGTGTGTGTGTGTGTGTGTGTGTGTGTGTGTGTGTGTGTGTGT